CAAGTATTTCTGCCCTTTCCATATGCACCAGTGGGTTGTCATCCTCACCCACCAACACAAAGGGAGCTGCAGGGATTTCTGTACAGATGGTGCTGTTTACTCTAGCACCATGAATAAACCATCTCAATTAAGCATTGATGTAAGCACTGCTGAAATAGCTTACATTTGTCTTGATTCTGTTGAAAAGTAATTCTTCAAAGAGAACTGGGCAGTCATCCCTCACCCTTTCATCAACCCAAAGAAATGGGCAAACACAAAAGTTAATCACAAATGTAAAGAACAACCAGCTGCACAACCCTGTGTGATCAAATCTGATGTTCAACAAAATATGTAACCTGACACACTCTGAGAACATATTTACCTGGCCTTTAACCTTTGCTCCACGGGACAAGAAGGGACATGTTGCTTTTCAACAGGCTGGTGACTTTTCAGTTCCAGCCATGACAAGGATGGAACATTTCCAGAGCAGCAGGAACATCACTGGTTATAATAAAATAATGTCATGGCTATGTTTTCCAGTGAGCTATACTTAAAAAACCCACTTGTTGAATCTGTACAACCCTCCAAGAGTGTTTGGAGTGCTAATGGATGGGATGAGTTGCTAAATTAATGTCTCATTCTGAGACAAACATTGGGCAACTTGAGAGACAGTGATAGATCATCACCTGTGTAGCTGTATGTCTTCGTTCTAGAATACAGGTGTCTGCTAGGGAGAGCAGGAGCCTCCCTTGGGATGAAAGAATGTAGACTCCCTCCCTCCGAATTATTATAATTTTGAAATCAGGGGACTCTCAGGCAGAGATCTGGGGATAGGAATAACAGTTCTTTACTAGTATAACAAGGCAAACAAACAACAATAACTACAGCATTAGCAAGAAAACAGAACCAGGGGCCCCGTGACAGCTTTCTCGGCTGAGACGGGAAGGGATGGAGGAGAGGTTTTGTTTCACAAACCCCCTCGGGCAGTCCCGGTGCTCCTGCAGGGCTCTGAGGAACAGTCGGCTGGAACAGCAG